TAAATGACAGACCAACCAGGGAACTGCACCATCCTGATGGAACCCTACTGCCTGCCAGATGGGAGGAGGCCAGGTCAGGCTTCAAAACATTTCAAAACAGCTCTGCTCTGAGTGTGACCGTGGCCAGTGGATGCCTGTCTGGGTTCCAGGCAGAAAGAATGCCAGGCCAAAGGACTGTTCTTCACCCTGTCACTCCATCAAGGGAGCACTGTAACCATCAAGGCAGACTAAATCATGAACTCACCTGGGGTCAGCTGGGGAATAAGGGATACAAGCAGGTGCAGGGACCAGAGTGGGTAAGGATAAAGGGGACATGCTGGGAACAGAATCCACTGCACTGTGAAGCTTGGAGAAGAGGTGGCCTGTCCTCTGCAAGAAAGGCCCTGCACTCTCCAGAAATCAGACCAGCTGTCCAAAACAACAGAGATGACAGCGAACAGAGATGGGAATCTCAGGCGAGGCCCAGGGCCCTTCTCTGAGAAGCATCTGCTGGCCTCTAGACCAGAAGCAGAGACCAGACTAGCAGGGCCAGAGGGTGCTCTTCCTGTCTGGGAGCAGAGGTCAACATCTACCACCCGCTAGAGACTTGGGGGTACTGCACAGGAAGGCAAGGAGATTCAGAACTATCAGGGGTCTAGCAGCCCCGAGACTCCAGAAGCAGTACTCCATAGATTTCAAGGAGATTCAGGACTATCGGGGGTCTAGCAGCCCCGAGACTCCAGAGCTGTACTCCATAGATTTACAGTCAATCCAGATCCCTTCCCTTTTTTGGATCCGTTTGACACCTGGTGATAAAAAGCAGAATCCAGCTTTACAGATGAAGGAATAAAGCAGAGAGAGGAGTAACCTGCCCTGGGCCACGTGGCAAACCAAGGACTAGAGGCCCCACCATTTCCAGTTTTCCTCATAAAGAATACTGTTTTCAATACACCATTTGCTACTATTTCTGGAAAGTACATGGCCACAAGAGAAGGCTGCACAAGAAGAGGAGACAACACGCGATACGTCCCTCTGGCCTCTTGACAGCACAACTACCACATACAGGGTTTGAAAGAGAAGACAAGCAGGACCAAGGAGGTCACGCACAGTGGCAGCGCTGTGTGGAAAGACCTCTCTTGGTCTCTATTATTCTGTAAGGCTGATTTAGCAATAATGACGGCTAAGGAGTTTTTAATGTGTAATTACATATTTAAAAGTAAAAATGTTTTCAATTAATGCCTAAGTGACTCATCTTGGGAGTCGACACTGAGTGCTTCTGTAAAGGATGTTGGAGGCAAGAAGGGAGCCCAGGCCACAGTGATCTTCCCTTACTTCCACAGTCCCTCTGGGAAGAGGGATGACTGGGTTCTGAGGAATGTGTTGTTAGCAAGCACGCTAAGAACTCTGGGGTTGGATGTTGGTACTACTGCTTCCTTCGCTGGCCCAAGCCTCAATGTGCTCTGCGGACTGGCAGGAGAGTGCTTGGCCCTCTCATGCTCCACCAGGGCTAAATGAGTGAAGCCGTGGAGTGTGCAGGGAAATCCTCTGTGAAACTAACGCCCAACTGCCACCCATATCATCTCATCCAAAGCCCCCTCGAGCCAAAGGTCCCCCATCCGGGCTCTGCTCTAGCAGAGCCAAATACTTGTCTTCACTGACCTATGGTCCCAATTCTTTTGCATTCTTATTTAATATTATTTTTGATTAGGTATATAAGTGGGAGAACTCTAATGCATTTGAGTGCATGTGTCCACAGAGACCGAAAGCTATCAGGTCCCTGGTGCTGAGATTGCAGTCTGGGACAGAGACTTGGGGAAAGGTGAAGCTGGTCTGTAGCTGGGTCCGGTGGCACAGGCATGTAGACCTAGGAACTCAGGAAGCTGAAACCTACCTGAGCTGCAGGGTGAGTTCAAAGCCAGTCTGGCAACTTACCAAGACCAACACAAAATAAAAAGTAAGAAGACGATTTGGGAAACAGCTGTTCAGTGTTGGGATGTTTGTCTAAACTGGTATGAGGTCCTAGGTTCAACCCCAGCACTGAGGCAAAAAAGCAAAGTAACAAAATACTTGGGTTTCATCTGAAGCAGTCTGAGCACTAGCCCAATAGGAAATTTGGTCTAAGGACGTCAAATATCTGTGGGGGCAAGAAAGAAACCTAGGAATATTCTTGTCTTTCCTTCTGAGGTAGCAGGGCAGAGAAGAAGCCAAGATCAGAATCTGAGAGTCGAGCAAAGGAAGACCTACCTGTTCCCTTCATGGGCCAGTCCTGAAAAATAGGACGATCTGTGTGTGCAAAAGGCAGTCACAGTAAATCATGGCATCTCAAGGATTCAGGGTTAACATGGACCTCAGGTCACTGGGAGCCACTCAACCATCTGAGCTGTAACAGCCCTTCCCAATGTTCTCTGCTTTGACACCACTGAGGACAGGCTGATTGCCAATTGGTAAAATAGCCTCACATTTAACCAATGGCTTCAAAATAAACCTCACAAGGATTAACTCTTTGTTTTTTTTCTACCCTCGGTTTTCCAATTCACCAAAAGGAATGACTGGAGGTCTCTGGCTCTCCAACTGGGTCTTTTGTCTTGTGGAGGGAGCTGAGGGTTTACCAAGTGAGGGCTTCCTCAGGCAAGGCAAATGCTCCCCCACTGAGTTGCACCCTCTGATCTTTGCAGCCACGTTTAGAGGAGGCAGTTCTTCAAGACACTTCGGTAGGGAGGTAAACAAGGCACAGAAGCCATGGAGCAGAGCATCTATCTTGGTCTAGACCTTGGCTCTTGCAGGTGTCACAGGCAGAACCCTGGAGACAATGAGCTGAGGCAGTCAGAGGAAGCTACTAGTGCTTACTTAGCGGCTGGAACCAGTTGTCTGTTTGCAGAAGCTCCCATGGCCACCTGGAGCTAGGGTTGCAAAGGGGCAAAGGTCATCAGTGAATCCAGCATGAGATGGCAATGTTGCCCCGAGATAGTGGAAACCAAGCCACAGCACCAGTCCCGCAAAGAAGGTGCAAGACGGTCCTGAAGCAGGAAGCAGCTGGGTTGGGGGGGGGGCGGCTTCAGTTTTCCACTGGTAAAAACAGGTCCTCCACTTGGATCCCATATTAACCAGTGCAAATGAGGACTAGAGAATCTGACCACTTCTATTGTCATTGTTACTGTCGCTGACACAGGGAAAACCAGAGGCATGGATGCTGCCTGTGTCGCCTCTAGTGAGCATCCCAAAGCAGCCTTGCACAGCACACTGTACACTGCTTGATTTAAGTTCTGACTCTACAGGAGAAACTGAATCCCAGAGGTGACATGTGCTTATTCCAGATGTGCTTCACTACAGCCTGGGGCCTTCCAGGAATGGGACACTGCCCTGGACTAGATCCAGTACACACAAGAACAGAAATTACAACAGTGACCCTAAATGGGTCACTCTCAAAGCTTAAACAGATGGGCTGAAATATGGCTAGGTAGGTAGAGAGTATGCCTTGCCCAAGACCTGATTCCCAGCACTGTGTAACTGACCATTGTGGTTCATCCTTGTAAACCTAGCACACCTAGGAGGATTAGAAGTTCAAGGCTAGTCAGGGCTAGAGACACAGCCTAAACACTTAAAACTTCCTGGGCCACCCATTCCTTGGCCACCTCCAGCACTAACTCTCCCTGATTCTCCCCAAAGCAAGTTTTGGATCTCTTCATGGATCTGAATCCCTTACTGGAGCACTTACACACTGACAGCTCACCCTGGACCATGCCCACGATATCAAACACCACGGTGATGGTACAAATAAAGACTCCAGAGACACAACAAGCCCTGGCAAGATCCTCACAACCAGAAACTGCCCCTTATAACTATTAGAAAAGACATGGGTGGGACTGGAGAGACGGCTCAGAGGTTAAGAGCATTGCCTGCTCTTCCAAAGGTCCTGAGTTCAATTCCCAGCAACCACATGGTGACTCACAACCATCTGTAATGGGGTCTGGTGCCCTCTTCTGGTCTGCAGACATACACACAGACAGAATATTGTATACATAATAAATAAATAAATAAATAAATAAATAAATAAATAAATATTTTAAAAAAAGAAAAAAGAAAAGACGTGGGTAAAGTGAGTCATGGTCTCCCAGTGAGGAAGAGGACAGGAAGGGCAGCAAACACTAGGTACTTTGCATAGCATAGCGGCCAGCTGTTCTGGCAGCCACAGAATCACTTTCTGGGATTACAAGGTACCTTCCTCTTCTACCAGTTAACCAATGCCATGAACTGGCCTGCTTCCAAGCTTGCCCTGGCTGGTAGTTAGCTCCAAGTAAGGTTTTCTGCCCACTTCTCTGCACTCGGGGTTTCTGAGCAAACACTCCTATAGCTTTTGGTATCTCTAGTTGACTGCATTCTGATCTGAAAGTCTTTTTCTGATGTTGGTAAAACACAAGCCAATAAAACGTGGGGAAGGGGTGGGTGAAAGGGCTCAGTAGGTGAAGGCACTTGCCGCCAAGCCTAAGGACCCAAGTTCAATCCTCGGGACTCACACGGTAAAACATCGATTCATGTCACTTTGTCCTCCACGTGTGCATGTCGCATATGTTTTGCACACACTCGCAATATTTTTTTTCAGTATGGGATAAAACAGTACACTGCCCTCAGCTGTCACTGTGAGCAAGTACACTTGTCTTCTTGTTGCGCTAAGTCCTGTGTGGTATGGTTTAATTGTGCTGTCCCCCCAGAACTGAAGACATGTTCATTAGCTGCTCCACACAGCAAGTAGTGCTGGTGGTAATGGTGATGGAGTCTTCAAACAGAGACTAACACCAACTTGTGGAAGTGACTGGGCACTTAACTCTGTAGGGCTGGGGTTGTCACTATGAGAGCAGGCAAGCTCTTCCCTGTCTCTTCTGTGCAGTTTGCTTGTTCTGCTTTTTGCCATACTATCATGAGGCCCTGGACAGTGTGTCCACCTGATAAAAATCTCAGTCTTGTGGTATTCTGTAATCGCAATAGAAAACAAACTAAAACCCAGTGCCAGCCACTCTACTTACCTGTCATGATCCTTTGGGCTTCATAGGGCTCCATGTAGCCAGCGCTTTCCCCCTTTCCGGTTTTGCTCTTGAGGTCATTCTTGGCATCAAAAGGATCTGAGTAGTCATCAGCTATGGTCACCTGCAGGGAGGAAGAAGAATGTGAGGCCATCTTTGGCTTTGTTTCACCACCCTTCACGGCCAGGCACTGCTCCTGCCAACAGAAACTGCTCCTGGGCTGCTCAGCATGGAGGGATGGGGGAGTCAGACACGTGAGCCCATCCTGGGGAACTGGAAGGGCAGCTGAGTAAAGGCCAGTGCACAAAGAACAGAGATGAGGACCTGGAGTCTTGCGGAGAGCATGACTACGCTTAACCAAACAGAGAGAGTTGGGAGATCACAGAGTTTAGAAACACTGGCAGGCCCTCGGTGCCAGCTGAGGCACAAGACCTCAGCCAAGGATAGCTGCACTCAGCATTCCACTTGTCTCCAAACCTGGAACACAATCCCGCTGTGGGTCATCACACAACAATTCGGTGAGATCAACATGCTATAAAAGTCGAGTGTGGCCCTAGACAGGCCAAATGAGAACACTAAACTCAGTGTTGTACAGATACCAAGAGTTAAAAAAAAAAAAAAAAGGCTCAGAAGCCCACGGAGGTCCAGGGTGGGCAGCCTTCACTCATGAGATCTTCACTCATGATCTTCACTCATGAGGCCAATCCTAGTGCCCTGACCTGGCAGCTGGCCAGAGCCCTGCCAGCTCTTTGACTAAAACAGGGGAAGAATGAGTCACTGGGGCAGGTCTCGGGCTGGGCGAGGACTCTGGAGAATTGGCGTTTGTAGAATTCCTGCAGCTCTTGAGGTGAAGGGGGACAACATCCAGTTGAAAGCTTCAGAACACAGTACCTAACCGCTCATTTCTAACTCCCTGAGTCCTCATCAGAGAAGAAAAGGACAAGAACTCTCTCGACCCACACTTCATCACCCTAAACTCTGAGAGCCCTTCCCCCACCCCCACCCTTCAGGTTAGGTGTCTAGCAATGGGCAAATAAGTCCCCAGTCTCCCAGCTGCTGCCCCAGGGAGGGAGGAGGTTAGCGTCCCCTTGATGAATTGTTATTTAAATTGTGGGTTTAATTAGAAACCACGGGAGCCGGAGCCACTCTTTTCTCCGGGCTCCTGGAATGCAAGGTATTTGCAAAGGCCTGGAAACCCAGAAAAGAGAAAGACCTGTGTCTGCTTGGTGAATGTCAGCTTGTGGCAGCCCTGGCAGGAGGCACAAGTGACCGCCAGCTGCCTGGAATGTGATGCCCACAGAGGGACTTTCAATTGCCCCTGGTCATTAAACTGGACTGTATCCATTCAAGAGGACCCAGGCCCAGAGCAGCCAACACCCAAGTAGATAAACCAGGTCAGACTCTGGGTCCCAGGGACTCCTCCAGATGAAGACGTGGTAATCACTGCCTTTCAGGAGACTCAAAGGACACCAGGCCGAGAAACAAAGGGGTTGGGGAGCTAGGCTTGCCTTTGTCTTTCTTTTGAGCTTTGCACTCCACCATTTGCAGAACACATTAAGAGTTGTGTACGTGAAGCACCGTTAGCCAGAACAGTTCAGAAGTGGGTCTTATGGACAAAGCTTTGAGTTCAAGGAACCAGACAACCCAATGGAGAATGTTTCCTAACATAGCTGCCGCAGAAGACACCTAACTCTGTTGCTCCTGGCCCACGGCCTTCACTGTCTTTGCAATCTGAAAATCCTCCTCTGGTTTGCAGTGAGAATGGGAGGGAGGAAGTGTCTCCCCCAAGGGTAAAAATTATTTGGGTTTTTTGTTGGGGACCATGGGTGGTAAGGTGGTGCCTAGCCTGGCTGGAGTCTCCGAGTAATTCAGCAATCAGCATTCCAGCCCCTTTCGGAAGTGCTCTGTAATTTGCAAACACGGAGATTTGCAGGATATAAACCAAATCTTTGTTCACCATGGGATGGGAGTGCTGGGAGGCCTGTAATAAAGCAGGCACTATCTATATTTTCTAATTAAAATGAGCTCAGGCTGCCATAGGCCCCCAGCTGCCTGCCTTGCTTACTTCCTTTTCAATAAGAATTTACAAATCCTAAAAGCAGGAAAACCCCCTAGTCTCTGATGACATGTGGTTCCGGTTATACCTGCTGACAGCTGGAAATGCTTCCGTTTAAAAAAAAAAGTTTAGAGTTCTGTTAGTTTAAGAAGCAAATCAGAAAGTTCCTAAAATGTATTTTTAATCAATTTGCTTTTGAACTTCAAAGTGAGGCTGGTGGAGGGGGAGTGGAAGTTTAAGCAACCTGAAACTTGGTAAACACAGCCCTGAACGGTCCAACCTGACGCAAATCACGTCCTAGCTGAAAGTAAAATTTTAACCAGGTGGTAGAAGTGGAGCAAAGACGGCAGAGCCCCTTATGAACAGCCATAGCAGAACTGTCCTGTTCTCCTGGGGCTCGTGGGCAGGAGGTGTGCCTATAAGCTGCATACACATTCAGATGAAATGAGCGGCTGTCCACAGATGTGGGCCTGCTGGGGTTGCTTTGCGGTAGAACGCCCTAGTTAGCAGATCTTCCTGTAAATCTGTATCAACAGTTCAATTGGACAAGCAGCTTGCTTTGGGAAGCCAGGTCATCGGCCCCTGCATTAATGGACAACGGGACAGGGATCCAGGCCACATCTTCCTTGGCTCTCTCTCCCCTAGGAGAGCTTTTAAACAATGCGGGTGATTCCAGCTCAGGCTACAGCCCCTAAAGAATTTTCACAGCTCACAAAACATCCCCAGAGCAGGGCCAGACCAAGTCGTTGAACAGTGCAGAGGAAGCCTTCTGGGCCAGCCCACAAAGCCTGACCTCCACACTGGGATTTAGATCCCACCATATCCCAAAACTCATCATCATGGCTCTCTGGGCTGCTGTGTTTGCCATGGGGATTAGCTGTGTGATAGGAAGCTGTCTTCCTGTCCATCCCCAAGGGAAGTGCTAGAGGAAGGTGGGTGTTGCCACTTGGCTACCCTTCCAAATGCCTGGGTGAGTATTTTCATTGCTCTTGTAGGATAGCTGCCCCTGCATGAATAACTGGGTAAGTAGCAAGGGACACTCTGAGAGCTAACTTTTAACAGGATTAATAGAAATAGACACATACACATAGTCTGACTCAGCAATTTGACATCTCAGTATTTACTCCTAAATGTACACAAGGGAACATGGGCAAAGATGTTCACTAAAGTAAGTATTAACAGGAAGTCCCACATAACCTCAACATTCACCAACAGAGGAACTGCTAAGCGTGCCATCTCATCCCACACTGGGGATTATTACCCAGCACGTTAATATTCGTGATGCTAACAGAGTTGTTTGCTCTGAAAGAGTTATAAATGGTATGCTATATACAACATACCTATTTATGAGAAATGAAACAGGAACCTGAATTGACCAGCCAGAGAAAAAGTCAGTGCAGAGCTGGTGCCTAGACTGATGTGTGGGTAGGGTCAGGGCTGCAAACAAAAAGGGCCTATTTATTACTTACTGTGTGACATGCAAACCCAAACTTGTGGCAAACTGTTCTATACAGGCTATTTTTGGAACGGCAGACAGACGGCTTCCCAAACCTGTCTGAAGACAGAAATGGCCTAGGATGGTTGTTAAGGCCTCAACTCTCAGTGTATTTAACAAGCGTCCCAGGTGATTCTTATCACGAATAAAAGAAAGCAGGCCCCACCCACTAGTCTAAAGGTAAACCTACAGTCACTATTCTGGAATTTCACTTTTCCCAGGGACTTCCCAGCGACTTCTCAGCTCTGCTCACGACCGACCGGTTACCAGAGGGTCAGCAGAAGTGAGAGCTGACCTTGGTCCACCTTAGATGCAGGAAGCAGGGAATCCTCTGAAATTTTGAGAGCTGTTTCCAACTGAGTGATATGGCCTATGCAGGAGGGTTTCCCCCGGGAAGCTCCCTACCTTGTACCCACCCCGTTCAGGGAACCAGGGACCCAGAAGGTTCCCAGCCCACAAGACCACAGGACTCGCCATTCAGATGTTTTTCAGGCCTTGTTTACCAGACTCTCAGCACACATGTGCACACACCTAACTCCAGGAAGGACTTGCAGCACTGCCAAGAAGAGCCACTGTAGAAACATACAAGTCCTACATCCAGTCTTCTAACAAAGAAGGGAAGGAGAGAGCAGCTGTCATCATCTAAGAGTGGGCACGTGCACCAGCCCACACCAGCTCCACAGGCACTGACTGCCAGGCACTGAGTACCTGCCGCTTCCACAAACTGGTACAGCGGTTCCAGTTCAGTTGTGGGTTTACAGGATGGGGGTCTCCACGATGCTTTTCCATCCCTGGGAAGTGAGAGGGAGGCAAGCCACGAGGCCATGGCATTTTTCTGTTGACTCCAGGTGAGGACACCTGAGTAACCCCGAGTTTGCCGTCAAGGTCCAGTTAGGCTCTTTCTCACTGACTCACCTCTAACACTGACCTTAGCTTCATTACCAGTTAGAGGTCATGGACAACCTGTGGAAACTGTCTCTCCCCATGTCTGCACACACCCACAGGGTATATTATACAGGTACATGGCGAACCCCAGATTCATTCCACAGCAAGCCCTCTCCCATTAGAACCACTTTAACCAATAGGAAAAACAAACATGCTGTGTGCTGTGCTGAGGTGGCAAGTGGAGGGCCATCAGGAGCTGGCTCCATGCTAAGTCGCCGCTAAAACAGCACAGTATAGAAAGCCAAAGTGGTACGCACCTTTATTCCCTGCACTCAGGAGGCAGAGACAAGCGAATCTCTGAGTTCAAGGTCAGCCTGGTCTACAAAACAAATTCCAGGATTAGCCAGGGCTACAAAAAAACCCTGTCTCAAAAACCAAACAAATAAAACAACAATAAAAAACCACCACCACAACAAAAGCACAGTACAGTGTGCCAGGGCCTGTCATTCAGCGACCACCACAACAAAGGCACAGTACAATGTGACAGGGCCTGTCATTCCCCGGTGGATAGTGAGGGCAGAGCACCACAAGCATTATGGTCCTGTGTCTTTTTTCTCTTGCTTGCTAGTTTGAAGTCCAGGGGCCACGACCCTTTCTGTAATTTGGGGCTAAGGAGGGCTCCCTGAAG